GTGTGTGTGTGAGAGAGAGAGAGAGAGAGAGAGAGAGATGCGTATGTGTGTGTGTGTGAGAGAGAGAGAGAGAGAGAGAGAGAGAGAGAGAGAGAGAGAGAGAGACGCATAGATCTATGTGTGCTGTGTATCTGCGTGGTCAATCATCGGGCCGAGTTTGAAAAGAGGGGGTGAAAAAGGGGTTTGTTTGTTCATGGGTCGGTGTGCAGCTGACTCGCAGTCGATTTGCTGTCCCCATGTCGTGTATTGCTTTCTTTCTCCTTGTTGCACCCTCTTGTCCTTCTCCTCCTCCTTTTGCCCTCTCTCTCCGTGTCTACGACGTCGAGACATTTCTAGTTCCGCTGTGTATGTACGTCTCTCTCTCTCTCTCTCTCTCTCTCTCTCTCTCTCTCTCTCTCTCTCTCTCTCCCTGTCTCATCGTTCTCTGATATTCTTGTTGCTTAGTCTTCGTCAATTTCGTCGTCTCGCTATGTCTTGTATTGCGCGCCACGTGTCTGTGAATGTGGTGCAGAAATATTGTTTCGACCGTCAATATGGCGTGCAGGCTCGACCTCAAGACCATCGCGCTACACGCAAGGAATGCAGAATACAATCCTAAGGTAAGAGAAGCCTCCTGTTGTGGTCGATGCATCATAGTCGCCAGGAAGCAGGTCTCTACTTTCAATCCCCGATTAAGAGCGCGGGTTCCCCTCAAATCGGCAAAAAAATCTGCTGCCTGACTCTATGATGCTTGGGCGGACGGATTCTCAATGATGAATGAGGTCAATGATGAATGAGGTCGCGATCCCGGTCGTCTTGTTACCTTTTTTCTCCCACATGCCACGTGGCATGACACATGGCGAGGGAGAGATCATATGATCGATTCCCCTAGGGAAGATTCTTACTCGGATGGGATATATCCCCATATCCCCGGATGCATCAAGGACATTGTGGGAGAGTGTGATTTCACCTTTTTTCTGATGGGTTCTGGTTAGGGCCGGTTGAGTCTGGTGGGTGGTCTCTGGTTAGAAGTTGAGTCTGGTGGGCGGTTGAGTCTGGTGGGTGGTCTCTGGTTAGAAGTTGAGTCTGGTGGGCGGTTGAGTCTGGTGGGTGGTCTCTGGTTAGAAGTTGAGTCCGGTGGGCGGTTGAGTCTGGTTGGAAGTTGAGTCTGGTGGGCGGTTGAGTCTGGTGGGTGGTCTCTGGTTAGAAGTTGAGTCTGGTGGGCGGTTGAGTCTGGTGGGTGGTCTCTGGTTAGAAGTTGAGTCCGGTGGGCGGTTGAGTCTGGTGGGAAGTTGAGTCTGGTGGGCGGTTGAGTCTGGTGGGTGGTCTCTGGTTAGAAGTTGAGTTAACTGTGTGGCTGCGGGTTTGAAATGAACTGTGTAGTAACACAAGTTGGGTGTGGTGGTAGGTTTCACATTTGTATCTGTGGTCTTTGTCTCTTCTTGGGTGGGAGACGTGGTCATCAGGGGTGTAAGCGGAATTCAAAGCAGATTTGAGGTCAGATACCGAAGCACAGGAGGTGTCATGACCACCACGCTATTCAACAGGTTGTTGATATATAGGTTGGAGTCGAAGGGATGGGTCGTGCTTGGGGTGTTGTCCGGTTAGGGGTTTGGTTTGGGGTCTAACTACAGTAGGTGTCGACGAAGGTTTAGGGTGTTTTCCTAACTACGTTATGAGCATGATTGGGTCTTGGTACGGACCTAATCTGGTCATGGCGCTGGTTCTGGAGCGTGGGTCTGATTATTGGGCTCTGATTGTTTCTCTAGCCAGTGTTAAGTTCTGGTCGTTTTATGAGTATAGTCTGGTTATGGGCGTGGTCCAATTATCGGTCTAATTATGGGTCTAGTTGAAGTGTAGGGTCTGGTTATGGGCGTGGTCCAATCATATGGGTGTAGTGAAAGTGTAGGGTCTGGTTTTCGCCGCCAGTTATGGGCTAGGGTCAATTAGCGGTCTAATTATAGGTCTGATTATCGGGCGAAGTATGGGTCTAGTTATGTGTAGGTCTGGTTATGGGCGTTGAGTCACGCGATCGAGTCCAATCTGGCTATGATGGGTCTGGTTGTGGGCGAGGTCTGATTAGCTACTGCCTACTGGAGCTGCTGGTGTAGTTAGGGTCTGGTTATGAGCGCGGGGGTTCTGTGCGGTTAAAGAAAGCCAACTGCCTGGTTTGTTTGGTTGTCCTGTTGGGGTTGAGTATGTTTGGTTGCAGATGTGTTTTGATAGATCCATGGACGTCATTGGACATATGTGTGCTTCGACGATCTGGCGAAGAGTGAGCATCATTTGTTAGAGGGGCGCTGATTCGAGTCTGCGTGGTGGTAGTTTGGTCGATATCCTCCCTCCTCTCTGCCCTCGTCGGCGCTCATGGAGGGTTTGGTGGAAGGAGAGAGTAAACGTGTTAAGTTATGCGCGCGGAGGGGGAGGGGAAGGGGAAGGGGGAGCAGGGCGCTCTAATTCGAGTCTGCATGGTGGTAGTTTGGTCGATAAAGTTGTCTCCCTCCTTCTGGCTCCCTCCTCTGCCCTCGTCGGCGCTCATGGAGGTTTGGTGAAAGTAGAGAGAGAAAACATGACACGTCATGTGCGCGGAGGGGGAGGGGGAAGAGGCAAGGGGAGGGGGAGGGGGAAGAGGACACATGACGTTCCACCGTTTGTCTCTTCTGTCTTCCTTGGGAAAAAGGTGACACCGTGGCGTGTGACGATCTGTCTCTAGGTAAATACTTGTGTGGTTGTCTGGAGATGAAACATGACACGTCATGCGCGCGGAGGGGGAGGGGGAAACGGGGAGGGGGGGGGGAGGGGGAAGAGGCAAGGGAAGGGGGATGGGAAGAGGACACATGACGTTCCACTGTTTGTCTCTTCTGCGTTCCGTGGAGAAAAGGAGGCACCGTGGCGTGTTTCACGTTTTGTCTCTATGTGAATACTTGCGTAGTTGTCTGCCGCCAACGATCGATCGATCGATCGATCGATCGATCACCCCCGACTCAAATCACTCACTCACTCAATCACTCACTCACTCACTCACTCACTCACTCAATCACTCACTCAACCAATCAATCAATCAGGCAATCAATCAGGGCAATCTTCCAGCCGCGTAAACGGTTACCATCAATCCGTTTACGGTCGGCCGCGAATCAGTAAAGTCCTGGGACTGTAGGTTGTGTGCGCACTGCCGTTCTCGCCGTGGATAACCAATCAATCACTTGATTCCGTGTATAACCAATCAATCAATTGAGCAATGAACCAGTCGAAGCATCAATTGGTCAATCAATCAGTTGAACTAAAAACTATAGCAATTAATCAGCCAACGAACTAATCAATCAAATCTATCTATCTGTCCATCGAGCGGAGCTAGCTTTCAGCCAATTGATGGCGCATCGCTTCGGCCGCCAACTACCGTCTTTACCCGAATAGAACGTCTGGTCATTATCGCTGCATCTGGACTGAATGCTGTGCCAAATACAGCTGTAATGACCATGCGTTCTATTCGGGTGAAGAAGGTAGTAGTCAATTTCCTGACCATGTACTTCGTATCGTCTCCGCGCGTTGGACGTTCATCGGTTGTGTCGTGCCGGTGAACGAAGTCGGGCAGTTGCTCTCGCCTCTCTTCCTCCTCCTCCTCCTCCCTTCTTCGTTTCTCTGTTTTTGTGCCTCCCCGCTTGTTTCCTCTCTTTCGTCGACCTTCGATAGACCACCACCCAGTACGTTTCCTATCTGTTTTATCACCTATCTTTTCACCTACGCTTCATCCTTGATGGCATCTGGATAAGGCAAAGATTTGTCGTCTCCCAATTCCTCTCTCTATCCCACTGTCTTGGTCTCAAACTGTCACATGTGTTTTATAGTATAGGACGGAACGCCCCCAAGCTACCTAGCCCTCCTCTTGGCTTCTCCGTCTTTTGAAAAAGCTATACTACGATCTCTGTCAACCTTGCGTGGGGGGGGGTGTTTTTTGCGTGACGGAAATTTATTTTGGGATGGGCAGTGTCCTCGAGCTACGCACGCACGCACGCACGCTCCACTTTTTTTTTTTTTTTTTTTTTCAAAATTTCGAAGAAGAAAGTTGCTCATGCGCGCGAGAAATCCTGGGCGTGGCGACGAGTCACTGACCATATATAAATACTATGGGCCTCGCTCCACTTTTTTTTTTTTTTTTTTTTTTGAATTTGGACCATTTCTCGGTTTATGCGTGTCATTTTTGGAAGCGCAGGCGCCATGCAAATCTTGGTCTAAGTTCTCTGTATCGTTCCAGTTTTAACGAATGTCCCGAAGGACGTCGCTCCACTTGTACGACATACACAAACGTCAAAAAAATATGGCGGTGTATCTTCCCATGTTCTAGCGGAAGATTCATTGTTATTTTGCAGATTTGGAGAGTAGTGGATCAAGGCCCTATGTCTCGACCCTTTTCCTCCTCAGAGTCTGTGTTTGTGGTGCTTTTCTCTCTTTTAGCTGCCCAGCGTATATATTCCTCCTTTTTCTTTTTCTTGTTTTGTCTTTTTCCGCCTTTGCGCTCTGATTTCCAATATGACAATATATTTTGTTCACGACCTCTCTGGGAGAGGGGTCATTCTATTATTTCTTCCTCCCTCTTGTTAGGTTGATTCGACCACTGCCGAACGTGGCTCCTTGTTTGTTCTTTTTTTTTTTTTTTTTTTTTTTTTCAAAAAAATTTGAACCATTTCTCAATTTATGCGTGTCAACCTTGCGCAAGGACCTTGTTTGTTCTTTTCGTATTCTTTGGGTGAAAATTTTTATTTTATTTTTTATTTTTTTTCCCGAAAGGGCGACAGCCTTGAGATATCATCATCGAACCGACCGACCCCAGGTACTTGAGAATTGTTGAATGCCAGGATTCGAACGTGGGTCTTTATTTCAACAGTTCATGGGTGTACCAGCTGACTGAGCTGCGTCGGGTGAAATTCTTGAAGCGGAGGTTTTGGCTAATTACTGCGAGATTTTCACTCCACTGCTTGTTGCCCCGCGGGCGCGAATTTCTGCACTTGTCCAAGAACACGTCCAGATTCAGGAAATCCTCTTTGCTACCGGTAGTGGGACCTCGCCCCCGGTTTCAGCCTCAGTGAGTGGAGGCGATGTAGCCGCTCACTCGATGATCTCTTCTCTTCCTGACCGTCGATTTCAATGATCTGGTTGGGACCGCTTTCAGAAGCGTTCTTTTGATTTTGAACTTCTTCAGGGCAGGCCGGGGGCTAAGTCCCACTAGCAGCTACCTCAACGCCTGAATCTGGACGTGTTTGTGGAGACGTGCAGTTCATGAAACTCAACACCATTTCCGCACATGTCCGCAAAAGCGTCCAGATTCAGGCGTTGAGGTAGCTCAACGCTGCTAGTGGGACTTGGCCCCGGCACCCTTCCTTGAAATATCATCTTCTGACGGACTGGCCGCAGGTTCATTCATTCAGAGCTACATTTTGTAGGGCCGCGCTGCACTACTCTCGAAATGTGCAAAACGAGAGTGAATCTTCCGCTAGAATGTGGAAAGATGCACCGACATGATTTTTGTCTTTTGTGCATGTCGAGAGTAGTGCAGCGAGCCCCCTATTTACTCGTCTGAGTTGAGTGGGATTCGAACTGGCGGTCTGTATGTCAATAGAATTGA